CTTCCTTCCTTCCTTCCTTCCTTCCTTCCTTCTTACATACATACACACACACACACACACATACACATACACATATACATACACATACATATACATGAATGAATGACAATATCTCAATAGCAGTTTAAATTGTTCGTGTATGCTAAGTCTTACAACATCACCTACACTCAGAAATATTTTACACATACATATACATGAATGAATGACAATATCTCAATAGCAGTTTAAATTGTTCGTGTATCACATACATATACATGAATGAATGACAATATCTCAATAGCAGTTTAAATTGTTCGTGTATGCTAAGTCTTACAACATCACCTACACTCAGAAATATTTTACTCCAATATACAAAGTATATTTATTCTAAGTTGATAAGGTAACCCAAACAATTTTGCTAGTTTTTGTCTGTCAGTACTCAAAAAATTGCAAAACAGAGAGAGTCCTAAAGGATCCTTGCATTCAGTCCTCCATACAGCCTTCTATACTTAATTGTATTTATATGTAGCACTCACCCCATATATAAAAGAAGTTAACAAAATAGATACTCCATTAGCTTCTGAAAGTCTTTTAAAATAAATGTATTCCATCACATTGCAGCCAGTTTCAGATGGATTTGTCTATGAAAACTTGTTTTACATAAGAAGAAAGGGGCAGTAGGCAGGAAAGGTAGGACTATATTATATTGGTAAATGAAATGCATTTCAGAATTAGGTCATAAATATTTCCCTTCCTGCACCAATCCTTTATCCCCCACCTTTGGAGAAGCTGTTGATGAAATCTGGCAGGTACTTACCCAGCACTGCACAAACCAGAGGCCGACAGGGAAGATTCTTATCAGCAGCTTTCTTCCTGTGTCTCATAGGCTTCAAATACATGAAGATGAATTAGTCAGAAAATGTAAGGCAATGATTACCAGAACTATTTTCCATATAAATCAAATTGCTACAAGAAAGGATGGTTTCATCCTCTCATATAAGTATCCACAGCTGGTCACAATAATGGAAAAATCATGACATGGACATGACATCATTGTGCAAACCCAGTCTTTATTGCATCCTGATGTCAGATACAAGTATGCAATTTGGGGGTTTCTGTTATAACATCACGATGCATGTTACTTCACTTCACTTCCCGCCCCTTCCCCTGCAGACACTGATATCCTCTTCAGTCCCACAGCAGTCATTTTGCCAATTAGGCTTTAAGCAAAAAACTAGATATCCATTATTTCAGCTTGGGCAACTGCAGTACCAGCCATTGCAGAAAGAAAATACTAAGATAGCTGGACAGGTTTTCATGTAATCATTGTTCACTGTGCTTTTATCTATCAGCTGGAAAGACAGAAGAATGCATCTATTCAGACAAGATACATACAGGCTGCCTTTGATTAGCTGACTCAGGGAGGCTTTAATATAACCCAGTCAGTGCTTAAGTTAGAGGACATTAGATTAATTCAAAACAGCCCAGGGTTGTTCATAGTTAAACTCACTTTCTTTTGTCAGTTGTGTTGTAAGAATACCAGAGAGAGAGTGTTAACAAAGGTTTAACTTTCTCTGTCTGCTGCTGCTGGAACAAAATTAAATCCTACAGTTGCTCTAAAAATGAGGCTGCTTTAGGAATTCCCACTCTTTCTTCATTTTATTTTTAACCTTCTCCTCCTCCTGCAGTCACATGGTATAGGATGAAATAGGGAAAGAAATGAATGGGGTCAGTAAGTCTCCTGACTGCTTCCAAAAATGTTAAAGATAGCAGGAAGTGATACCTTCTAGCAACCATTGAAATAGCTGGGAAGCCATGAAAAAATCCCATGGAGTAGCAGCTGCCTGCATCAGCCATTTCATCTTAACACAGCTTCATCCTCATATAAAAATACCACACATACATACATATATATTATTCCCCAATATCTCCCCAGATCCAGTTGTCTCTCATTCCTTCACTCCAACTTGCTCTCCACTGTGTTCTGCAAGCTGACCCCAGAATCACTCAAGAAATTAAGATGAGGCTGCTTAACCATGATTATGAGCCAGTCTTACATACTGCAAGTACTGGAGGCAGGGGTTGGAAGATTAAGAAAAATAAGCACAGAACACCAGGTACACTTGACATTCACTGGAAACTTTCAGATATTTACCATCAGCATCATGCAAATGCTTAATACTGAAGCATCTATCTATCTGTCTGTCTGTCTGTCTAATTTATATGGCCACCCATCTCAACAAGTGACTCTGGGTGGTGAACAGAATTAAAATAAAATAAAAACAATTACAAACATTATGAAAATTAAAATACAAAGCAGCCGAGAAACATCAAATCCAAATCATTAAAACAACCAAGCTGAAAAGTGAAAGAATCTAAGGCTCTTATTTGACTTCGACCAAATAGAGCTCCTGATCAAGCGCCCTCACCATTCTGTGGAGGTTTACACGAAAATTCATATTGTCGTCATGCAGAAAAGCATTAGCATACTGGTCCTATGGAAAAAGAAAAATAACCAAAGTAAGCAAGATCATACATTTTAACACTAAAGCAGTATTGAAAGACAGCCTTTATGAATGAAACAATAAGTAAATGTTAGTCCTGGCAGATGGATTCAAATGTATTCCTCTTCTAGTTGACTGATTATGATTATTCAAGTTGCTGCCAAGTCTTAGCAACCACCCAGATAGATCTCCAGAATGATCTGTCCCAACCTAGTCCTTCAGGTCTTCCAATGATATACCCATCCCCCTTGTAATCAAATGCACCCACCTTGCTGCTGGTCATCCTCTTCTTTCCTTCCACTATTCCCAGCATTATAGATTTCTCAAGAGAGCTGGATCTTTGCATAATGTGTCAAAATATAACTTGAGCCCGGTCATTTTTACCTCAAGTGAAAACACTGGATTGATTTGTTCTATGATCTATTTGTTTGTTTTCTTAGTAATCTATGGTATTCTCAGGAGTCCTCTCCAACACCAAAGTTCAAAAGCATCAATACTCTTCTGCTTCTTCAAATTCCAAATTTTGCTTTCATAGACTGTAATGGGGAAAACCATTGCCTTCACAAGCTTGATATTTGTAGGTATAGACATATCACAGTGTCTGAGTCTCTTTTCCTGGGGTTTCATTGCTCCCCTACCAAGTGCTTGTATGCAATGTATTTCTTGGTTCCTTTGCTGCTGATATTCAGTCCTAAAAGGCAGAAGCTATCCACCACTTCAATATATTCATTGTCAGTTCTAAGGCTGGTTGCAGTGCTTGTTGTCATGACTTTGGTCTTCTTTATAATCTTAGTCCCATTTTTTTACTGTGCTTGACTTTCATTACTAAAGTTTCAAGTTTATTTGCACCTTCAGCTATCACAGCGATGTCATCAACATAATGAAGGTCATTGATATTTCTTCCTCCAATTTATAACCACACTCATTTTCTTCCAATCCAGCCTCTCTCAAATATATAGTCAATCTAGTTGAGTATCCCAGCTCAAAATATAAATAACTTCAAGTATGTCATTAATGTGCATTTTGTCACTAGTTTCTGCTCCCCTTTGTTATTGATTTGCATGTCAGGAAACTGAAAAAGTTTTACAAAATTCACACAAAAACATATTTACCTGTTTCATAAAATAATGCAAAACCCATCAGAACCACCCTGTTGCTGAAGTTGCAACCTTAATTCTGAATTAAATTAATTCCAAAATCGACCCTAAATAACACTGTACAGTGCTGTATATAATATTTGTTTCCATTCAATTTCATGATCAAATAATCCATGACTACATGATCAATGTCTTTTTCAAATTATTACTTCAATAAACTCAGATGACAATTGTGGCAGTTAATGGTGAACATCTGACTGAAATCAATGGTTGTTTTATAGCAGCTTGAGTTACCACTTAAAACATCCAAGACCTGGTAGCTTCCATGGTCTTAGATTATTAAAAAAAACTATGCTGGCTAAGGATTATGAGATGTACAGTCTAACAAGTTTGAAGATCACCAGACTGTTAGGCCAATACAGAATGAATTGGAAAAGGTAATTCTGTCTATGAAATCTGGATGTGAACAAATACTGTTTGTCTCATGAAAATGGAAAGAAGGCACTATTAAATTTCAAAGGTTTGCCATTTCTGTCTGTATTTTCCCTTTCTCAAGCCTCCTTGCCTTGTTAGGTTAAAAAAGGACCTCCTTTTATATCTTGAAAAACACAAACAAGTGGTGTCCAGTATTTATTCTCTTAACATTTTTTATCATAATAAAGATAGTAGACAGAAGGGGAAGATGTTTTCAGTGAGCCAAATCTCAGCAAGTGGTTAATTCTCTAAACTGCAGTGATTATCATTCAGTTTCCGGGTGGTGGTGGTGGTAAAGGAATGCACAGATCCTAAGTTATTGATTTCCACATGTGCTACTGAGACAGAGGATATGGACAGGGGAAACTTACCTCTGCTATGCAAGTTAAGATAATCAGGCAGAGCTTCCCACTATGGAGCCGGTGTTCATCTGCAAATGAATGTCAACAGATCCCATATGAGCCACCATTCCTTGATATGTGAAAAGGTAAATACGCAAATCAGAAATTACAGAAACCCATAGGCACAACAGAGCAAGAGGTTATCCAGCATGGTTCTTCAATTGCACTGTTCAAAGGTATTATCTGGGGTCCCACAATAATAACAAGGTTTTTATTTTTGTTTTTAACCCTGGAGTTATCTCCTTTTTTCAGTCTTCAGCACTAATACTTTCCATTGTTACAGAGATTATGATTCTCCTGACCATCGAATAGTAGTCAGCATTGCTGCTTGCCCTATACTGTACGGAGTTTTCAATGACCCACCCAAATGAATCCTGTTTTAATAAGCCAGGAATTGCATGATTTTTGTGCACTTTCACACAGCTCTTTTGCTTTATTTTTCCTGTTGAGGAAGCAGACTACAACCTGCATTAACCATAACTTCCTTACTTGGCCTTGGTTTATTGCAATATCTGAATCATCTCTATGAGTACATGTGACTATTCAGCTGTACAGAGCTAAAATGCTCTTTTTCCAGAACACAGCAGCCCTAGAGAGCTGCAATACTTTAGAGTCTTGTTATCTTTTCACTGCAAAATTGAGAGACTTACTGCTAGGTGCTACAGTTAAGTCACATCCTTGGGGATTACATGGCAATTACTCCTTCAGGCCAAGCATTTGACTTTAGATTACTGCAGTTACATACTAGTGATGTATTTATTTAGCAGCATTCTATTGGCTACAGCTTTATGCTTTAGCACTGAAACAGCTTTCTTGCCTTGACAAGTCTTAGCTGCATTATAAAATGGCACAGGTCCCCTGAGATGGATGCCAATTTTGGCCCTGGGTTACAGATGAGGAGAAACACACAGTGAAACCAATTCTATGTAGTTACATATTTGCTAGAATTTGCTTGTTCGCATTCTCAAACAAAGGAAAAGTAGGACTGTTAACAAACAGAAACCAACATGAGAATAGCAATTAGAGGATTCATTATAAAATACTGGTCACATTGAACATTTCAAGAAATGAACTAAGCATCAATTTTGAAAACTCTAATACAATCATTGTGGCAGATAATCAGTCACTCCCACTATGGCAGACAGCATTCAAACAGCATTCAACATTCAACAACATTCAATTATAGGTAAGGAAGAGTGCCTGGAACCATTACCATACTCCTAGTTCAAAGAAAAGAAGCAAACAGAATTTATAAGCATTCTACATTTAAACAGGGGTTAGGGTTAGGGTTTCATATTGAAAATGAAATTAAATGAACCCATGACTTGCAGAACTTACTGTTATAACACACACTATATTAGAAAGAAAAATGTACTACATCTGTTTAATGTCTTCATTAAGAGTTATTTAAACTGCAGTGCAAATATAAAAGGAATTGTATAATGCTACCTTGATAAGTTTGGGGACCCTTCACATCTATTTCTATCATTTAATACAATGGTGTAGTTTGTACATAATATAAATCAGGATTGGTTTAACCTAATTGTGGTTTAACTGAATGTCCAAAAACACTACAAGCAATAACTCATGGTTAACTTTCTAGAAATAAACTTTAGTTTATTCAACTGTTTATGATTTGAGATGGTTTATGATTTAAGATGGTTTATAAATCCTCAGTTTAATGATACAGTATCACACATCCCAAAATCCTGGTGTGGTTTTATACCCAGATCACCAATGCACAATGCTGTAAAGCAAAAACAATCAAAATGCAAACAATTAAAGAAACACGCTTCAAGCTGACCCACCCTCATTTGCTTTCTCCTTCCATCTCATCCTTCTTGGCAATAATTTTTTTTCATGACCATTCATGTCCATTCCATCCCAAAGCACAAGGCAGAGGTGGGGACAGAAACAGAAGGCACAACAAAAAACCAATTTCACAGAAGAGTTTGTTTAGCAACTACCAGAGTTAATGACTGTTCGCAAATCCAACAATAATAAACAGTAGTAAAAAAATCATTTTCCAACCAAGATACACACTTACAACCAAATTTGTGCACCTGAACGAGTGAGAGTAATGCTGCTATTGCTGCATGAGAGAACATCTAAATGAGACAGCAGCAACCAGCAATCTTCACAATGTCTCTCTCTCTCTATCACATGGCTTGCTTTGTGACCATTTCATTTAATGACAAAGTTGCTGGAACAGACTGCAGTCACTAAACGAGGAGTGGCTGTACCCTACATAAAAACTCACCATTTATTCTTTCATGAAAATGTATCGTGCAAAAAGGAAAGACATATATCCCACTAAAAATGCTGACACAGAATATCCACAGATAGAGCCCCAAGGAAAAAACACATGACAGACATCCCCCCAAAAACATAAAAGGCAAAATGCATTCCATACCTACATGCACACATGTGCATAGACAAGTACATACATTAATACAGGTGGTGCGTGTGTGTCTGTGTGTAATACCCCACATATTAACATATAGAAATACTGGGTACTGACTGAAGAGGTAAAGTAAAAACAACTCAAGATTTGAGCATTTTACTTGTCTGAAGGACTACTCACATTATTCAACAAATAATCAAAATAATGTATGAATGCAGCCAACATAACATAAAACTGCAAGTTTGCCTGTGCATGTTTGTGCACATGCCATTATGGCTTACCCAGCTGTAATGATGGTAGAATGCATAGTTATCCAAGTGTGAACCACCATCATCCAATATGCTACTTTTTGTAGAAGACAAAATTTTTAAATTCAAGCCAAATCCCATCACCCTGATACAGCCTTCTTGTACCAACTCAGAACAAACCAACTAGCTAAGAAGCATCATATGTATGTCTTCTGAAGAGTTTATAATGTTTAATCTCAACTCAGAGCTCTGTTTTATGCAGTATTCTCTTTGAGGTGTTCTCAGAAATGCAGTGCTATATACTCTCTCTATCCTCTGCATTATTAGATATAATTTTCAGCTGTTCATTTCCTTGGAAGAGCATGCTGAGTCTCTCTGACTCCCCAAAAGTACACATTTTCTTCTATATTTGGTTTTTCTCCCCTTCAGCATCAGAGCTCCTTGATCTCTTATAATTGTCATCTGGCAATAAGAAATCAGTTCATTCTGTCAGTCTAAAGAAGTTTACTATCCATGGGGAATCTAGGTAGATTTTTGTATGCAGTCAAATTAGTAACGAGCCTTTCTTTCCCCCAGTTGATTTCAGAAATAAAGTGGTATCAACACAACTGCCTACCTTTGGTATCCTGCATGACAATAGAACTGTACTTTAAGAAGGTTATCAGCAGGTTGCTTGTCTGCACGTCAGCATCCAAGGGTAACTCCACGGTACTTATGACTAGGAAAAGCCAGAGAAGGTTTACTCATCAGCAGAACTGAATCATTTTGAAAACCCTCCAAATGGAGGTAAAGCAACATGTCTCCACTATGGCAGTATTCAATATTACACATATTTCTCAGTTTAACAATTGTTTGTGATATCAGGCAGAGCCACTGTAGATTACCAATTTGGGGACAAGAAAAATCAAGCAACTTTGCCACTCCAACCAGCACACAGTGAAACAGGATCACTTCCAACAGAAATGCCCAGATAAAGTATATAGTGAAAAGTCCAGTTTCTCTTAGTCAGGGATTTTGTTATGGTTGTACCTCGGCATTTGGAAAGTTATTTATTACTCTTTAATGTTTATGTTGTTATGTTTAGTTTTTAAAGTTATCCCTGTTCTAGAGGTCTGGAGGTTGCTCAGAATCAGACTTTATTAGAGCAGCATAAGCCCAGCAAAATAAATAAACAAATGTTAAAATATGTTTTTTTCCAGGTGTGGACCAAACTTAGAGAAGACATGAAGTTCGATATCACTTCCTTTCTGTTCCCAGTTACCCATTGCTTTGACAACCAGAAGGTTTATATGCAAGTAATGAAACCAAATGTCTAGACTCTATTCTCCCAAATTAGCATACCTGATATACCAAAATATTACATTACCTCTCAAGGATTGTTAAGAACTGAATTGTCCTACTGCTTTCTCAATCTCAATCAACATAGATCCTAAAAGGTTCCCCCACACACCAGTCACTACAGAAATATTTTATCTTTTTTCAGGATACTTTTGGGCTGAAGAATTGTTTTCAAGCCCTTAAGATAAAATGGCTATATATTTTTGCAAGCCAAGTGTGTTTTCTGCTTCCGTGTCTGAGATACCAAAAGACAATCATGAGCACAATTAAGTATTTGAGATAGGTAAATTCAATAACAAATCTTTTCCATCACATTAAAACAGGGAAGGAAGCTGTTCTTAACATTGTCAGTAGAGCCTGAAACTCAGCAACATTCCCCAACTTCAAAAGCACCCAACCTTCCAATAGTTAATACTACACTCAGACTAGTTAATATTCATCCAACAGCTATAATGGGCCTTTCTGGTATTCTATGATGCACACAGTGAATGAATATTTAACAGCAGCAAGCAAATTCAGCATTTAAGATACCATGGTGACAGGCATCTTATACAGTTTTTGCAACAACAGAAAAAGGTAGGTCATTTGTCTCTTTTATTCTTAATCACGATGCAGAAACTTGCTACCTTTCTTATCTTAACCCTGTGCTGAGAATAGATACTATTTGTGGGAGTGCCTGTCACCAACTATTTCTGCCTATCCCACAAATTCTCATAGGACTCCTCCCTCCAGGTCTCCTCCCTGAGGCAATGTCATCTGATGGGACCTTAGGAAGTGTGGTTTTCTATGACAGCGTCTGCCCTTTGAAATAACACCCCCCCCCAAAGATTAGGATTGCCCCAACTTTGTTAGCCTTCCAGAAAGCTTTAAAAACCTGGTTTTTCCCCAAGCACTGGGCCAGGATGACATATGAGCTCATCTTCTGAGAGATGATATGTGTGTTAGTTAACCCAGGCTGTATGTTGTCTGATGTGCTAGTGATGGATTTTGTTTCTTTTTTCTATTGTATATATTTTTTCCTTGTAATTATTGTTTTGTTTGGCTTTTACTTGCTGTGTGCCACCTGGAGTTGTGATTACACAAGTTGGGTGGCAATATAAATCATCGAAATAAATAAATATTAACTTGAAACATCAGAAGAGCATTTAATGTCCGGTACAAGTCAGAAGCAGAGTACCTGATCTAAGACTGCAAGCTTGTTTTGCAAAATCCAGCAGCTGTTAAAGTACTCAGGACCTTAAGTACTCTGGACCATATTCTTCAAGAGATAAAGTGGCCTTTGACTTTGAAACAGACATATCTAATATAAACTGTAAGCCAAAATATTGCTTTATCCCTAAACTGCAATTTTTTGTGGCAGAATATGAGTTGGAATAATCCTGGCATGCTTTTTTGAAAAAAAGAAATACTGGGGAGTAAGAGAATGTGGAAGAATGGAAAATGGGTAAAAACTGTAAGTGAACCCCGCTGTATGGATGCAGGCCAAAATAAAAATTCCCTTTATAAAGTTAATTAATCTCCAGGAAATAGGAAAGTAACACTCTCTATGCATATCTACAACAGTTTGCATTTATCTATGTAAATTAGAGAATGAGGAGAAAAAGAGAGATGAAGGTAAGCATACAAATTTTGCCTGCTACATTAAAAAAAAGTGTGTGGGCAGATTCATTTGCAATGAATAATCTGAAAGAAGCTTAAGCAGCTCTCAACCCTTAGCATCTTATAGAATACGTACACAGAGAGGTAGAAGACACAATTCATCTTTAAAAAACCTTAGACTTTTGATATCCATGGCAACAAAGAATTTATCTTCTCAGAGAAGAATACTCTTCTACTAGGATACCAGAGTGACCTTAATAGCAGCTAAGTAAGACTAGTTCTCACTCAGATGCTTATAAAGTTTTATTGAAATAGATCATATTTTCCATTAAGATGTTTGTAACACATAAAGAAGTCAACGCGCACAAGGCAACTATGCAAGTGAATACAGGATCCTATTATCTAGGATGGCCACCCACAACTTCATGCACACAACCATGTATTTACCTCCTGCCTAGGGCAATGTCTTATCACATAAAAAAGACAGTCACAGAGAAATTCTCACTTGGGACTAATTTATGATCAAGCCAGTTAAAAATATGGCTCTGTAATTCATTCCTGGTAGTGGTAAGGTTCCAGATCTATAGAGCCTTATGCTTTTTCTCCATAAAAAAGCCATTCGTTGTCCTGCCTAGAGTGCAGAAATGCAATGAACATCCATAGGAAACAGACAGAACAGCTCACCATCAGAAGAAGGTGGTGTAGTTCCAAGTGGAGTAACAGGCGTAGTCGGAACTGGGCTTACTGGCATTGCCACTAAACCAATTTCAGGATGACTCTAGGAATTAAACACATATCCAGATAGATTTATATTCTGTGACACCTGTACTACTTTAAGTATCCTTTAGTGCAATTTCACCCTGTTCCTGATGTTGCAGCTATTTTTCTTCCACTATCTTACCATACCTACAACTCTTGCTAGCATCTGTCATATTGTTTCCATGCGTATAAGAAATTAATGAAAAACATGTCTCTTAAAATCTCCTTACAAAAGTTGCTATGAAAGCAATATTTTCTTCCCTCTTCTTCCATTCTATCTCTTAATATATTCCTGATTAAAGAGCAAGTCAATGCATCATGTTGCTACCCTGCCAGGTGTTTCAGGAGAACACAATGCTATACAAATATTATTACTGTTACCTGTTCTGCCTGGCTGCTTCTACTAGTTCTCTCTACATTTCATCTCAGCCAGAAGCTCCCCATCTAATTGCTGATTTAACTATAGGGTTCCATTTGTAATACTGTCATCCATAAAAATAGGCAAGAATTTAGATCAGCATACCATTCTGTTTTATGTTCAACAGAGAAATAATGAAGTCTGTTTCACAGAGTATCTTTCATATCAACATATCTCCAAATGTTCTCTCATCAGCAAGCAGATTTGAAATGCATTTTGGAACTACCAATCTGTTTTTTTAATTATACAATATTTCATGCAAGTTCACACAGGGGCCTGCTGTGGCAGAAATCTTGAAAGCTTGGTTTATTAATGGACTCTTCATTAGTACATCTTGTAAGGATTAACTATCGTTTCCTCAATTTTTGAAATTGACCTCTGAGGCTAACTTTGAAATAAACTGTCCACTGAAAATAATACACATTAATGACTATTTCCATAGCCTAACTACTTGGATTCTGTTACAATCAGGTTTTATAACTCTTGTTCCAGCTAAGGAAAACAGCACCACCTAGCAGCAGGATGGCATGGCAATTCTGAAATTTAAGCTTGCATAGACTGCAGTAATTCCTATATTGTTCAACTGAAAAAGTATTAACCCAACATGTATCCTGTTTAGTACTGCTCTAAAACATACAGGTTATACAAAGGTGAATAAGCTGAACAAAGCAACTCTCATACATAAATTATTATCCACATCATAGCTATGGTCCCAATGTATGTAAACTACTCACATCTTTATGCTAGATTTATTATTTATGACACTGAGTTTCTTTTTAAAAATGACACAGTAAAGCCTTGAAATATTTATTCTGAGCAACACAAGTACATTAACAGCATGATTAAATTTTTCTTCTATTCAGACTCATTTAAACCAGATTTAGACCAGTATTCACCACCTATTAACAACAGTGTTTAAAAGCCCTGAAAAACAAAACTCAGAATGGCAGAATTAAGAACCCCATTTTTTGCAGGCTTCTACAAACTCTCTGCATAAATAAAAGAAAAATACTGGAGGTTGAATGTAATTTTCAAACAACTTTAAGTGTAGAAAAAGGCACTGTATAGTTTTGGATTCTAATCAGCCGAGAGATTGCTCTTGAGTCTAAATGATCTCCACAATGTGTGGTCCTTGGCCCAACTTAGGGAGAATTTTCTAGGCTCTAAGTCTACTTATCTTCCCTATAGGTAGGCCTCCTCCTAAGCTATCTGAACTGGGGAATTCAGAAAGGGGGAAAAAAGCACCCTTCTGTACAGCAGGGTTCCTCAGCCTTGGTGACTTGAAGATGTGTGGACTTCAATTCCCAGAATTCCCCAGCCAGCAT